AGAGTAGCAGCCGTGTTAGTCTGTATTCGCAAAAATAACAGGAGTACTTGTGGCACCTTAGAGAATAACCAATTTATTTGAGCATGAGCTTTCGTGAGCTACAGCTCACTTCATCGGGTCACTTTCAAGTTCTCATGTGCCTGAACAATTCTATTAAGTTTGGACTGCAAACACTGCAGGGAAATGCTTATTTAATAAATAATTAAATAAATAAAATACTACTACCACTATTACAAGGCTGCTTTTTCCTTTGTATTTTGTAGCGTGCATGAAAACATTCTTTTTTAAATACACAGAACTCAGCCTTACATGAGTGTCTTTCTAACATTTCCTCTGCAGTATGTTGAGCTAACTAGTCCACAATTGTCTGTCATGTCCCATGGCCCATTTTTAATATGTGGGGTTACTGTCACCCTCAAGTCTCAAGAACTTGATCAGTCATTAAGGAACAACTGAAATATCATTTCAGTTTTGTAGTTTCTATGCTTATTTTCTTTGAAATTAGTACTGAAATCAGATGCTGTCTCCCTCTTGGGCTGACGCCTGTGCCTCAGCATAAGAGCTCAGAAGCTGGTGAAAAACAGGGGATACCGGAGCTGGATATTTACCCTGCCTATCTCCCAGGGCCTCCCACCAAAGTGTATATAAGGGCAGCAGCCCCAACTTCCACACAATTCCTTTTGGCCAGTAAGAGCAGTAAGACGAACTGAACTGTGCCTGTTGCAGACCATGAGAGTCCTTTTAAGTGGTCTTTCTCTGTTTTGTTTTACTTAGCTAGATAGGGTAGTTTAAATCAGAGATGTTATTTTACAAGTTTGCTAAGTTTTAGTTTCAGGGCTCCACTGAGCCTCTTTCTGCTCTAACTACTGATGGAGTCCCCATCATTAGGCACCATAGCTCATTAATGTATTCTTCCTCACCCCACCACTGTGAAGTAGGGAAGTACTTTTAAAATTATTATTATTATTCCTCCCATTCTTAGAGACAGGAAACTTTACTGTGTCAAATCATCTGTTCCTGAGCAAGCTCACAGAGAAGTTAGCCAAAGGCCAACTTTGAGGTCATTTAATTGAAGATAACATCCTAAACTTGACACAATCTAGATTCAGGCCAGGACATGAAAACCGAAACCACCTTAATGGCACTGATGGGTGACAGAAGGCAGACATCCATTCCTATTCCCCTGGGCCCCTCTGCAGCATATGATATTGTCTACCATAGGATACTGCTGGCTTGCCTTAAAGTAAATAGTTTGAGCACTTCCTGGATGGAAATAGTGATGGGAACGAGTAGGAATGGGAAACTATACCTCCACTACTAGTCCTCTCTTGCGTGAAGTCCACAATTCTCTCCCCTGTTGAGTGGTTCTGACACCTAAGAAAGGCCTAGTGCCTAGGAGTTCAACACACTAAGTGTTAAAGGGCAGCTGCAAGCTGAGTGAACATGTGGCATGCTCATTAGGAACATCAAATAATTTTACACAGGTCACTGAACAGCAGCTATACATCCACTACCAAACTGGGATAAGATGTGAAAAAATACAAGTGAAAGACTCTGTATTCTATTACCAAACTTGTGAGCAATGCAGTTCTCACGATCTCATATTCCTAATTTCCCCCCACCCCCCAAAAATACAGGAATGCAAAAATTCTATAAAGAGGAATCATATTCTGATCTTTATAACTTACGTGCATAAGCTCCTACACAGCTCCATGTGTCTGTTTCACGGACACAGACAATCAGACAGATCTTCATTCCCTTCTACATTGTGTTCAATACTAGACAAATGGTACTGACTAATGGGATCGATTCTCCTGTTGTATGTACAATTTACAAAGGTAACTGATTACCTTTACTGGGAGTTTCATACATGCTTCAGTTGAAAACATCTCCCCATACCGGATAATTATTGGAATGTTACCAGATTATTTGCCCCACTTTGATAAAAATCCTACATATCGATGTAAAACAAAAAACTGAAATCTTTACTACTTATTAATGTGATTTCTTAATTGTACACGGCTAGGTCATTGTTATGAGTATGTAATGGGAATTGTGCAGGCCTGTCCCAGTATACAGATTAATCCTTCTCACAGGTCCAGTTTATATTATGTAGTCCTATTTTTCAAAGGTATGTGTAATTCTTTAAAAAAATATTAAATTATGTTTTGGAGAAGTTCCATCCCTTGTTGTGCATTTACTGTCAAGTGTGACAGATGACTATTCCCATTTACATGTGCACTATCATATAGAAAATATGCACTAGTTTTTTGTGGGTGGCAAATACTGTTTGAATAAATTTTAAAAAGGAGCCTAGTGACTTTTCCTTGTTTAACTTCATGTTAAAAACTGTGATTTTCTCTTACTTGTAAAAATAAAATCTTTTTTAACAGTTTGCCGTTCCTCTTCTATACTGAGGAGCTACTGATGGAACTATTTCTGTGAAGCAGAATGTTCTCTTCTCTTCATAACCCGAACTTTCTCTTTTAAAATGTATTTCCTCCTTCCTTTGTTTTCAATTAATTGCTTTGTTTGAAAAGACTTTTTGCTTATTACCCACTGCTTTATCATTACTAAGTAGAAATACAATCTAAATCATGTTTACAGTACAGTATTAAGAATCTGCAGCAATCACCTAAACATTAAATCTAAAAGTAAGTCCATTACATACTAGTGTCAAAGTGTAAGTACGAAGGGTTTCATCCTACAAAGTAAAGAGCATGCCTGCCCTTTGCCTTCAACTCTGACTGATTTCCATAGGACCCAAGGGTGATCACTACCTGACAGCAGCGTACAACACTTTGCAGGACATAGTCCTATGCTTTCTCACAAAACAAACTGCTATACTGTTTAAGAGTGTCATCTTGCAAACTATTTATTCCCATGTGGATGCTCATTCTCACCAGCAGTCCCACTGGAACCAATGAGACCAAGCGTGGGACTAATGAGAGGAGTAACTGTTTATAATATTGGGCTCTTCGCTTTTAAAGAACAGCCTGCTGCCTCTCAATATAATCTTTTTAAAATTATAGTGGTGATACAAATAAGCATCAGCAATTCCCTATCCCAGCATTCTATGCTGGCTAGTTAGAGGACCTGTAGTGCTTGCTGAGATAGGGAATCACTTATATTTATTTATATATTAAACTAACAAAACCCTTGTAATTTTAAATGATTTGGAACCATCATGTCACTTGCATGGCTAGCCTATATAAATATGGTCTTCCCCATTCTCTTCTATTGTTTTTTTATTAGATTGTAACCTCTCCAAGGCAGAGACTTTCTCTTCACATGCATCTATATAGTGCCTAACACACTGGGATTTTAACCCTGACTAGGGACTCAGTCAGTAATGCGACACAAATGTGCAATATTAAGAATAGTAATAAGTAGAACTGTTATGTATGTAATAGTGATATTTACATTGGTTGGTAATTCCATGTTGTCTTTACATTGCATTTGGTAGTCTAAATATTCCCAAGAAGTTACATTTCAAACCACAGAATCTGTTCTCACTCACTGCCCCGAGACCATGCCACTTCCTAAATCACAAAGCACACTAATAAAGAAATAATTAGTGACTGCAGGATGTGCACTGCCAATATTAAAATTCACCCATTTTAAATCTGAATTAAAGAATGACATGACTTTTTTTTAAAACTACAAATACCTTGTATACACATATGTACACTTAGGTATATTTTGTCTGACTAAGTTTTGGTATATTCCACACAAACTTCTTAGTGTGTTCATGGATACATCAGGGATTAATTCTGGGATAAATTCAGTGTCTATTTGCTTTTAGGGCAGAAATTAGCATAGATTATTGCTGCAAAGTAAATGCACCGTTCAGGATATTCAGATCAAGATCTGTGCAAGTTGTTACAAAGGTGGGGCAGGGAGCAAGGTGCCGAATACTTCCCCTGTAACAAGGCTCCGATGGTAGGGGACCTGGGGAGTGTAAATGCTTGAGATTTTTGGGAAGCTGGAAGTTTTGCAGAAGTTATATCTCATGCTTCCCCCACCCTGGGCTTCCCCCGCCAGGCTAAAGGACAGTAGGCCATAATTTAGTTGTAGTACTTCCCGCAACACACTGTTTCCTGGTAATACTGTTTTTCCTTTGGATTTCATGCACGTTAATGACTATTTAGTAACATTTGAAAATGGAGGCTGTCATACAGTTTAATTTGATATACAATGTTTTTGCATTGTGACCAAAAAGCCTGAGGAGACAAGCAGGGCAATATGAGAGGGTTATGAAGGAAAAAGAAAGAGACAGAGAGAATAGGGGTTGGTAGGGATGATTTTCCCTGCAACATTATTAGAATTTTCTCCTCAGAATTTTAATCTAGTATCTGAAACATACTCTGACACTGACATGTAATATATGTATTACTGCAACTTTGTGGGGAAAAGAAAAAACAAAAACACATCTCCATGGAAAAGAAAGTTTTCATCAAAGTGAATGAATGACATGCTTTCTGCCAAACATTCGGTCTAAAGGGCTGTGGTTTAGTAAAATTAATTTTCCCCACATATAATATCCAGAGAGAAATCATATTTTATTTGTATATATTATTTCACCTTATAGGATAAAGAGTTAAGGCTTCTTTCAGCTATGTCTAAAGATTGTAGAATATAAAGCAAATCCGCAGTTTAAGGGAGTTCTCTCTATGAATGAGAATCCACTACATTTATGAGTCATATACCAGGAATGGGCAGATACAATTTTCAGCCCAAGTTCTTTATATGAAAAACAAAGAGGGGGGAAAGTTGCCACTGAGCTCTATTTCTACGACAGACATTTCCTCCTCAAGCAGAAAATCCATGCCTAAAAAAAAGCCAAACATAACTGAACGTATAAACCGAACACAAAACTATGTATTTTATAAATATGAAAAATTGACATGCCTCAGAGGGATCTCATCTGTTTCTTTAAAGGTTGACGTATCACATCTACAGTCATAAATGTCCTTTTCAAAGGTTTTTAAGATACTTACGGAGTCCAGACCATTGGGAAGGCATCTATTTCTTCTTGCGTGTATTCATCTAACCTCTTGGGGATTCGGCGTGGCTGAGCAAGCTCCTCGACAAGATTATTACGTATGTCTTCTGGGATAACCTGAGGTAGAAGATAATAAATGATTCTCAGCTTTCTAGTTTTTAAGCAATAAATTTTCCCAGTGAGCACTGAAATTCCAAAGAGGAAACCTAAATATCTGTGTGTAGGTACACTTTTCAGAACATTGTGCTACCAGTTCAAGTGGATTCAGTGCTTAATGAATCAACCCATCTAATCAACAGAATTGAGACTACTGCAAAATAATGTTAGTACCTCTAGCTAAGTTGGAATTTGAAGAAATATAATACAGACCATTTAGTATGAGAACCTAACAACATATCTCCAGAAAAACTGTATTCAGTCTTGACTGTAATTAAAAATATAAACATTGATAAGACACCAATTCAAGGTGCTGACATTTTATATATATATATAGACAACAGTTAAACAATATAATGCAAAGAAATCCCCCAAACACAATTACAGGACCAGACAGAACCCCATTCCCAGCAGAAGCATGACTGAGTTCCTCAGAAAAAGAGCCCTGTCATCCATTCACTGGAGTTCAAATGGCAAAGCATCTCAAAGTAATTTCAGACAATAGTAACTGACTTGATGAAGTGAAAGGTTAAAGGCCAAAGGACAGAAGTAGTCTCAAAGGCAATCAGATCCAAGTCAGTTAACATTATGTACTAGATCGTACTCATCAATCCTTCAGAAATAATAAGCTTGCTCCAAGAAATGAAACTCAAGAGATTAATACTGTTACTGGTATCAATAATCTGTGACTGCTTGATTTGTAAAAAGTATGCTACCAGACACTAAAGATATATACAATATGATTTTGATTTCCTTAATATAGCTCATAGTCAAGCATACTTTTCCACACTTCTGCTACACAAAATGCCAAATAAAAAAAATAATTCTTTTTACTGCCATGCTTTCTGTGGATTGTACCCCAAGAAAATAGTGCATACACGTAGCACTAAAGATCTGGGTGTTGGCATTTATTTAATAAAGCACAGAAACACGCTTCACATATTGTTGCTAGAAAGATCTATATATACTACTGGGTTATAAGCTTAACAAAAATGAAAATATAAATCTGCGTTTTCGACAGAAACCACAGCTGACATGTTCACAATATATTTACGGGTCACTGCTTGACTTAAAATACCTCATGCGGAAAGTAATATTCTAGCTCTTTTGCTGACATGCATCTTTACTTCATTTAAGACAGAGAAAGGAAACGATGGTGTACTTAATAAACATATACATTTTTTTCTGATCACCGCTCTCATATTCTCTCTGTGAGTACACATGCTTCATTTGTTAGAATGTAATTTTTAGAAATTTCCAGTGTAAGGCTGCTGCGTGTTGGCTCCCAAGCACAATGTACAGTATTATGATTATTCTTAGTACAGGAACAACATTTTTAATTGTGATCCTAACAGCATCTGCAAGACGCTCATTGGCATTTGGCAGTGAGTTTCAGCAGGACTGACCAGTTGTTATTACCTTTATCTAGTGGGTGTGGTGTAAGATATCAACAGAAAGCTACCAACATATTGATCATTGACATTATTGTGTGGTGTATGCATGGAGGGCAAATTCAAATTACAAACATAATGAAAATTATATTATCAAAGTGTATATGACAGGCAGGACTAAAGTTACTCCCACCCTAGACAAAGGGGAGGAGACAATCACTCAGCATCATAGCAAGGGGAAGAGATTTGAGAAAACAGATCAATATGCATTTTAGCGAACACCAGAGAGGGAAGAAACCAGCATGGAACTTCCTTCATGACCAGACTCCATGTCATCTTCCCCCCAGTTACTTTTGGGGTACCATTTAAAAGAATCCATTTCAAAGGTTCACTGGACTATAAAAGAAATGGGTGAAGAACCCAAAGCTATCTTTCATCTTAGATGACAAAGGAACCGAGCACTTTAGACTCTATGGGAGATCCTGACGGGCTGGTCAGCCATTTCACTGGTAGGTAGATTGGTAAGGAAACTACCCTGAACAAAGGCTGTGGTTTGTTTTGTTAAGACTTAGCCTCTAGAAAGCATTTTTCACTTTTATTTGCTTGTAACCATTCCTAACTCTATTTTTTATATGTGACTCACTTAAAATCCCATTTCCTTTTATTTTACTTGTTTTTCTTTTTATCTAAACCGACCTCGTGTTGTGTTTGATTTGAAGTGAATGTTAACACCAATTAATGTGGCCAGCTGCTGAGTATGGTCTCTTTAAAGGAACAAATGAACTTGACTCCCTCTCTGAATGGTCGAAGAGAGGGCTGGACATTGCAGAACACACAGTTTAGGGAAAATTCAGGACTGGGGGTGGGGGGTGTTTGGATCATCTTGCCAGGTGTAACCAAAGCTGGGTGAGGCCAAAGTGTGTGCAGTGATGTTACAAGCAGGCTGCTGGAATCAGAACGCTGAACCAGGGCTGCTTAACACAAACAGACACTCAGGGCATGCTTGTACACTGGCTGGAAGCATCCAGCCAAGAGACCTATAGCAGCAGAGCATTTTGAGGCACTCAGGGTTACATGTCAGACAGTGACACAACCCTTCCCTGGTCTGGATTGCACCCCAGAATGTGACATTAATATACACGCTGATTAGTGGAGTAGTCTGGTGAATGAGTACCTTCTGGTTTGGGAGAAACGGGGCTCATACTCCCTCCTATATGGAGACATTATGCTCTGTGAAGTAATTTAGCAAGTTCTGTCCCTTCTTGAGAAGCAAGCTTGGTGAATCTTCAACAGTGAAGATTCTTAGTAGCTTCTGGAGGTTTTATTAGGGTTCTGGGGACTGGAAATAACTTGGGAGGCTTTTTCCCATGGTTTGTGAATTCACAGACTCATTTTTATGCATAACAACTTAGCTTCACCACTGTAGTGCTTCAGTGTAGACACTACCTACAGGGACGAGAGGGGTTCTCCCATTGGTGAAGGTAATCCACCTCCTCGAGAGTTGGTAGCTAGGTCAAATGGAAAGATTCTTCTGTCAACCTAGTGCTATCTACCCTGGGGGATAGGTTGGCTTAATTATGCCACTCAGGGATATGGATTTTTCACACCTCCAAGTGACATAGTTAAGCTGACTTAATTTTCTACTGTAGACCAGGCCTTAAATTTTGAAAACCAGTTCACGGAACCAAAGTTTACAGATACTGTACTCTATCTTGATTTCCAGTTAGAAATAATCTTGTACAGTAAAAGGCCCTTTGTTTTGGCCAAAATACAGAACAATAAGCCTTCTAATGCATGACAATCTTCAGAGCTTTATGAAGTTATAAAGAAAAAACATTAATATTCAAACTGTCTTTAGCTATAAAAGAAACAAGCTGCTTTTCTCATGAAGGGAGATATTTCAATAACTACATCTATACTTCCTTAAAGCATGAGAAATCAGAACATAACCAAGTACAGCTACTGACTTACATCTTCTGGAAAGAGGTGAAGCCTCTGCATCATAGTTCTTCTGTGCAGGTTCTTTGGAAGCATTCTATAAATAGCCAGTTTAACAATCTGAAAGAGACATATATATTATGAAAAAAATATACATCTGGGTATGAAGCAGACATGCCAAAAGAGCAGAAACAATGAGAAAGAGGTAGGCTGAGCTTCCCTCTGCCCATTCCTCCAGATCCTGGACTTTGCTTCAACAAACCACCATCTGGAGGTGCAGCCTGACCATTCCAAGAGGCCAAGGCTCTGGCAACTGTCAGAAGAGCGGGAGAAATTGGAGGGAGCAAGGCTGAGTACCTGTTCATCCACCAGCCCTAGTAGCACAATGCCTGTGCAGACGCAGACATGTACCATGGAAGGCCCCACCACCTTCTATGATGGGGAAGAAGGGAAACAATTATGCAACCTTAACTATCACAGCCACCCCAACCACCTCATAGTACAGAATCCTTTCTAAATATTATATTTTAATTGCTCAGGATTAGAGAGCACTGACAACTTTTCTTCTAAATTAACTGATATATGTGATGTGATAATTAATTAATACTGTTGACGGTCACTAAGTGCTGACAATAACATCGTATTTCCCAGTAGGAAAGCTTCCACAGTGAGCTCTATTTGCAGTTGAGGACTAGATATGTTCATAGGGAGGAAGTGGTTGTGAATCTGAAGGTTCAAGGCAATTGGAGTGAAAGTGAGCATGTATGATAGATTTCATGATTCCAAGGAAAGGAAGGAATGAGAGCAACAAAATAAGAACAATGGACTCAAAAAAAAGACCACATTTTAACAAACTCAGAGAACTGGTAGACAAGATCTCACAGGAAGAAAAATTCTAAGGGATACAGGAGTTCAGGAGAGCTGACAATTTCTCAAGGAAACAATATGAAAGGCACAACCGTAAACTATCCTGATGCAAAGAAAAGATAGGAAGACTAAGAAGAGGTCAATATGGCTCCATCAGACCCTAAGGTTTATCTCTGAGTAACAGCTTCTCCTAGAGTGGTGCAGCTTACTTGCTCAGGACCCTGGCTGAAGCCACCACCTAGCTCTAATTGCACTGATGAGAAAACACAGAAGTTTTAATTTAAAAAATTAAGCTTAACAGAATTTGAACTGGCTAATTTTCCAATATAAAAAAGGCACAATGTAAAAAGCAGCACCAACCAGAGTCATTTACAAGCTGATACTTTAGCTACAAAAGGACTCTGATATTGTTACCTGAATACAAAAGAAATATAATTGAGTTTTACAGCAAAAGAACTGAATAGAGGACTACAGAATTCCAAGAAAGCTGTTCTCTAGTTCATAGAATATGTGCATACGGATTCAATATTTCATTAAAATTAGACAATGACTTTTAGTAAAACAGAGAATTTTCTTATATTTTAGCTATACATTTCCAATAAACAGAATTCCAGTTAAAATGATGTGTTTATGTGATGATGGTGATCAGATTTTTAAAAAAACCTTAAACGGTCTGAATTCTACAATGAGAAACGCACAGAGCCCCATTGACTTCACTGGGGCTCCATCTCGGCAAAAGGGCCTGCCTACCTAGTTCTCTCAGCAGGACTGCGGCCAAAGTTCCAATGATGGGTACTGTTAAGCCAGCATCCACCAAGTTCAATCCTGTACAGTTGTTTATGCACTCCACCAGTTCTTTACTCGTGGTCCTAGCAACAAATAAGATTTTACATCCTATTTTAAAAAACAACACTCCTGCTGATTTACAAGACACTGTAAAATCTTGTCTTTCAATTATCTCATTCTACTTTATGTACTGAGCCCTGCCTTCAGATTTATAGCTGATGAACAGAGTCCACAGATTTACATAAGATCTTGGGTTCAAAGCATTAAGCTGATGTACACCCCTTCAAATCTGGAATTTCTTTTGATTGATACAGTTTTAGCTATTACCTCTAGACTTAAAACACCTTTGTTTAAGTTGGTCAATTAATACATTTTTGAGACATTAGTTTAACTATTTGTAAAGCAAACCATGAATGTGCCAAAAACATTAATTTTAAATGGATTGCTCACATGTCCAATAAAAGGTCTCCAAAAAAGTTAACAAAACCAAACCTGGGATAGATATTCACTTCAAGTTTCAAAAGTTCAAATTCTGCTTCTTAAACTACAATGAAATGAATATGGTAGTATAGCCTAGAAATGCTTATTTACACTAACGTATCTGACTTTTGTTGATTAAACAAACCATTTATGTATACAGGACTGGATTACATTTAAACCTGCTCTAGTAAACTCTCACATTGTCAGCTATGCTAGTGAAAAACTAGCATTTTATTAGTATGAAAAACCTTTTTATTAAAATAATTCTAGAGAGGATTCGTACATTAGGACTTAAAGATTTCAACTTGCGTTGGTGGTGATTGACAGAGCCTGGCTCTTATGTGTAGTTTAATACTGCCTTATATACATTTGTCACACCCAGGAGTGGCTAATTCCTGGAAAAGAATCACTGAATAAGTAAAACAAAATTAAAGCTGTTCACCAACAGCACAATACCACTAAGTACTAAATAAATTGACTGAGGTCCCAGGAGAAAGTATATGGAAGTGACTAAGAAGCTAAGAATCCTAGAACATTAGCAACATACCTTCACACCACATTTATCTGAATGAACTAGCCTTCACAAAGATGCAGGATATGAAAGATTCAGCTAAAAGGTATTGAAACTAAAAGAATTTCAGGATATCTGGGATTTTTTTTTACTAGATTAGACAGAGCTACTGTACATACATCAAAATTACATAAATCCTCTCCATACCAACTCCTTGGTTCTCTTTCCTGCTTAATCATAATGCTTTTCTTCTAATTATTTAGGTTCCACTGGGAGTATTTCAAGAATCAGGAGAAGCTGCATCACTCTGGCTTCGAGAGTTTGATTTCTGTTAACACTTCCCTAATATCTGAATATTTTTATTTATGTATATTAATTGTACTTCTCCCAATCCACCCCATCTCACTCCCCATTACTGCTCTGCCCAACTATTTAAAACTCTAGAGTTAGAGAAGTACTTTAAATTGATATCCTTCAGCGAGCACAATCCTGAAAGGTATTGAGAGCCTTCCACACTTTGCAGGATTGGGCTCAGAATGAGGAACAGATTAAGAACAGTAAAAGCAATTTGTTTTCATCCACAACCAAACCAGAGATCAAACCACCTGTGAAGTCTTGCTGAGAGTATTTTTAACTTCTAAAATACTTGATCCTGTTCCAATATTCTCCCTAATCCATAGCATACTCACTTCTATGTCTCTACTAATCCAGGCTTCAAAGTTTTGCTCTGGTTTATTTAAAACTGTTCCCCCTCCCCATAGTTTTAAAAGAAAACTCTCTGTGTTTGATGTTTTACGAATAGCCTTTTGATATGTATATTACTAGCCAAAATTACTCCTTGTCTTCCCTGACCCAAACTATATAGTCTTTCAAAGACCAACTGTAAGGATTCTGTTCCAGGTTTTTCTTCCAAAAGGTAATCATTATGCAGATGCAATACAAGTCTATGCACATAAGTGATTTTTAAATAACATTCAAAGGTAAGAATGTTTTAAGCGCCCTTATTTCAATTCCTGCAGCTGCATACATTGGGGCAATGACTCCACTGCAGGCTTCCTCACAGCATATTGCCAGTGTGAAATCTTGTCCTGCTTTATAATTATTCTCAGTAGGTGAAGCACACTCTGAGCAATTGTCAACCACTAATTCTTTTCCAGTGGCAACACAGCCACTAAAAACTATGGCCAACTCACATACAGTACTTCTCACTTCTTTAGAATTGTTTTATACTCACTAATTTCATGTGACGTTTTCCAAGTAACTAAATAACCAGCGTCAATTAAATTTTGCTTATATTTTCAATTAGAAAATAAAGTGAAATTTTTAAGTGAATATTTGAGGCCAAAACTTTCTAAACTGAGGTAGCTGAATTAGGCTCCTAAATCCATATCTAGCCACCAATCCAAAAGTAGCTTCATTTGCAAAACTGCCAAGCATCCATAAATTCCACTGAAGTCAATGGAAGTTGCAGGCACTCAATTGCTTTAAAGTCTAGCCACTTCCATTTCTAGGCATCTCAAGAGATGTATGGGCCAAATTTTAGGCATAAAACTTTCACAGTTCTGGTCTCAAACTTTACAGTAATTATGCAAGTGAACTAAAATGTCTGTATGCTTTATTTTTTTATAAAAACTGCCTTTGAGTTCCAAACATGTGCTTCTTGCAAATAAACAAATTGAAAGTACATAATCTCTCTGCTTTTTGCTTTCAAAAATGGGCAATATTGGCAAGATAGGGACATAGTTTGGGAAGTCCAGTGATGCTGCAAGTCAATGCATTCCCTTAGCAGCCTGCAGCAGAAATTAAAGTTGTCCCCAACATATGTCCTAAAGGAAGTTAGTGGTGGTACTACACATGACCTGATTCACTACCACAAAACCAAAGAAGAGGGAAATCATTTTGACCTATAGCAACAGGACGTTATCGCACTGAAACTAGAAAAAAATGAATTAACAAAATACATGGATCGTCCAACAATCTGCACTTAATCTAAGGAAGTCAAGTGAAAGGTTAAAAATGAAATGGTAATTTCTTCTTCATTAAACACTTCCTGAATAATATGGGCAAGCCCAATATGAAGGAACCCCTAAAACTGCTCATGTAGAAGACACAACCCAGAACATTAGAATTATAAATACTTACTTTAAAACACAGATCTGATCATCTGGTTTTGGAGGCAAAAATTTGCCAAGACAGGCTTGATGACTCTGATAACTTCTTGAGACGATTTTGTTCTTGTTAGAGATCAGTCTTCAAGGATAAAAGGTTAAATTCAAAGGTTCACAAGTTAATAGCCACTCTGCTCTACTTGTTAGACAGAAGTATTAGCAATACTCAAATTTCACCCTATAACAACGGTACTTCATAGCTCCAGCAAGTGGAAAGTCCAGGAAAGAAGCTGTTGTATGGCAAAGATGCTGTGATCAAAACTATTCTGTTGAATAAAATGTCATCAATCCAAAGATCTGAAGAAGAT